AAATAATAAAATAAAATAAATAACTTACACCAAAAATGTCAACCACTTGTTTGGTCGATCGAGTGACTCTCTTTGGTGACGAATGGGTGGAGATATCAATAACTGGTTCCCGAAGACGAGTCAAAACTACCGATGACGGACGAACCAAATTGCCATTAGACACAGCAGAGAGAGCAGAATTCGGGACCACAGACACAATGGTCTCAGAGGGGACGTTATAAATGGCCGATAAATCATAGTCATCGGGTGTTGACATCGGTCTAGTATTGGTGACAATCGGTGCGACAGTGGCCCTTGTAACATAAGGCGCCGCCATAAGTTCGGGTGAAACGGGAGTCACAAGTCTCCGTTTTCTAACGGGAGATTTATTTCTCTCGTTAAGAGGAATGTCTTCCCGGCGTAATCCACTACCACCGCTACCATCATTAAAAACTCGGACATCGCGGGGTACGTAAGGAAGAGGAGATGGTGAGGACAATGGGGACTCCGACTGATGAGGTCGAGGAGTGGTAGGCAAAGCCTTACGCTTACGTGAAGACCTAGTCCTCATACTGTATGTAAACAATAAAATAAATAATTAGTTAAAATGAATTTAAATATAAACAAAAAAGTACATATACAATATATATATATATATAATTTATAATACAAACCAATAATAATAATATTTAAATAGTAATTATTAATTATATAAAACCCGTTGTAAATGTTTTAAAAGCATTTCCATAAAAACTATTTAACTAAAAAAAATACTAAAATAAAACACAAAAAAAAAATTGTGTAGCAGAGCATGGATTCGATCCTATGTCCTCTTGGGACACTGGAAAGACAGCCATTCAAATTATTTTTGATGAATATTTTAAAATTAGTAAAAGAATTGCACGGCTATACATTGCACGGGACAAACAGATTATTCAATATTTATTACTATTATTATTATTATTATTATTCCTATTATTATTATTATCATTAAATCAAAACAAAAAAAATTAATAATAATATATAATAATAATTATTATTATTATTAAATAAAAAAAAAATTTTAAATAGCTATTATTATTATTATTATTATTATTATTAAGCAAAACAAAAATTAATAATAATATATAGTTATTATTATTATTATTATTATTAAACAAAAAAAAAATTTAATAATAATATATAGTTATTAGTATTATTATTATTTTTAAACAAATAAAAATAAAATTATTATTATTATTATTATTACATTATTATTAAACAAAACAAAAATTAATAATAATATATAGTTATTATTATTATTATTATTATTATTAAACAAAAAAAAATTTAATATAGTTATTATTATTATTATTATTATTAATATCACTATTATTATTAAAGTTATTATTACTACTACCAAAAACAAAAATAATAATAATAATTATTATTATTTAAGAAAAACATAAATATTCATCATTAATATTATTATTATTATCATTACTATTATAACTACTACGACAAAAAATAATAACAATAATTAAATAACTATTACTTATATTGTTATAATTATTATACTAAAACATAATCATTAAATATTATTATTATTATTTAAAACAAAACATTATTATTCGTATTATTATTATTAAATAATTACTAGTATTATAGTTTTATAAATAAAAAAAAAATATTTCTATTTTTATTATGACAGTTACTAAAAAAAATAATAATTAAATAATACCTAGTATAAAAAAAACAAAATAAATAATTTTACATAAAATAATAATTAATATATTATTATTATTATTATTATTATTATAAATAAAAAAAAACATCTTCATAACTACACTAATTAAAAAACTAATTACTAATTATTATTAAAATTATTATTAATTACTACTACTAGTGTAAAAAATAATAATAATTAAGTTACTGTTATAAAATACTTTATTATTATTACAAAAAAAAAATTATAACTATTATCCAAACTATAATGAAAATAATAACAATAATTAAATAATTATTAGGAAATCTTATAATAATTAAATATCACTATATATATAAAATTTTACAAAAAAAAAACAATTAAAAAATCGTTTTAATTATCATAAAAAATTATTATAATTTAAAAAAAAATACTATTAGTACTACTACTACAAACATAAATATATTAATTAAATAATTATTATTACTATCAACTATATTATTAATTTAAAAAAAAACATTATTAATGTTATTATTATTATAAATAATAAAATAAACTATTTTTACTACTACTACACAAAAAAAAAAACTAATAATAAATATTATTATTATTTTTATTATCATCACTACCACTATTATTATTATTATTATTATTATTATTATCATTATTATTATTATTATTATTATTATTTATTAGTACTAATAAAAAAAATATATAACAAACTTTAACATAACTATTGATTATTAATAACTAATTTTCTTTATTAAAAAAACTTGTTTTATATTATGTTTATTTAATATATTAATTACTCTTACAAGACATTTGACAAATATATTATTAATTAAAATAAATAATAAACAAATTATATATATTTATATTAAAAAGATTTCTATCATCATTATTAGTAATGTTAAAGTATATTATATAATGCATATAATTTTATAACATTATTAATAAAAATAATAATAATAATAATTAATGTGTTATTTTATTATTATTTAAATTTCGGTTACACTTTAACATAATAAAATATAAAATCAATTAAAAAATCTATAAAAATTAACTTAATATTTAAAATATAAAATCAATTTAATAGTTAAAGATAAAAATCAATTATACTTAAAATTTTTAGTTTATTAATAGTTATTGATTGATATATAAATTAAAAGCTATTAATTGCTAAATGTTTGCTTAATCTGACCCAACAATTGATCCCATTGTCTATCAAAATCACTAAAATATTAATATTTTTAGCTTAATATAAATTATAGTTATTATAACTATAAACCTATTATTACTATTATAACTAATATATTATTACTATAATTAGTTAGATATTATTATTATAATTGTTTATAATATAATATAAACAATTAACTGCTATTATTACTAATATAATTAATTATAAAATACTATAAAAAATAAAAAAAGTTATTATAACCATTATTATTAGTATTAAATTTATAAATAACTATAAATACCTATAATAAAAAAAACAACAACAAAATTAAATATCCATATATATATATATATAATTAATACAATGTTTATATAAACATAAATTATAAGTAATTTTCATACTATTATTAAAACTATTATTATTATAACATTACTTATAATCACATAACAAAAAAACAAACAAACACGTGACAAACACATGTGTTATAACTATCATATTATTATCTATTAATATATTAAAATATATTAATAATTACTTTATTAATACTACTATTACTGTATTATAATTATTATATAATAAACAACATAACAATACTATTGCAAAAAAAAAACAATGTTTAGCAAATAATAAAAAAAAATAATATTAATAAAATCACATTAATTAATATACAAAAAAAAATTATAAATCAATTAATTACTGTATAAATTAATAACATATAATTATATTATTATTTAAATTAATTGATTTTTTTAATATAACATAAAAATACTGTATATTAACTATATATATCATAAAAAAAATACTATTAACTAATATTATACACATATTATATATATATACAAAAATCATTTACAAAATATAATATAATTAATTATAATTAATATTCATTGACTAAAATTAACTAATTGTTAATATATATATAAAAAAAAACAAACCTTTAATTCCAAAAAAGTAGTCCAAAAAAATAAATATTAAACTAATATTATTATCACTATTACTGTTATTATTATTATTGATTTGTTAACTATTAATACTAATTATAACCAAATTATTATAATAATTAATTTTAATTAAAAAAACAAAACAAAACAAAATTTTATATATATTGAATTAAAACCAAAACATGTGTTTCAAATATCATTCAAAAATTGTTATAAAAATACACATAAAATACGCTAATTATATATTAAATACATAAATTATGTTTAATATAAATATATATATATATATATTAATTAATAATTAAATTTTAAGTTTATACATGCCTAGGGTCAGGCATTTTATACGGGTGCGGAATATGTAATGTATTTCCCTATTGGACCCCACTATACCCTATTGGGTATTTAGGGTACGCCTACCCGTTCCCATATATAAAACCCCAGTAATGTACTAATCGGGGTCTTCTAGTGTATACTATACTGTACTGTATATTCATATTATTACTGCTATATATTCAATAAAACATTTGTATATTACATTTTGTGTATCAATTATTTTTTTAAAAACTAAAGTGTGTGACATACCCAACCCGCCGGCACCGGGAATACAATTCCCTTCACAATATAATATAATTAATATCTAATTTTTTTTAAATACCTGTATTTAAAAAATGTAAAAAATATATAAATGTTTTCTATATATTTTTTATATATTATTTTTCTAGTTTGTAATTAGAAATTACAAAAATATTATTAATTAATATATATAACAAAAGCAGCATGCTAAGTTAGGGTTCATGTAATTAATTAATTAATTAATTAATTAATTTAGCATGCTAAATGTAATTTTTTTTAAATATTTTTTTTAATTAAAAGCAAGTATTTTAAGCAAGCATATTTTTTTTGTAAATTATCAATTTGATAACTGCAAAAAAATAAGTAAAGTCAACAATGTCAATTTTGTATACACATAAAAACATTATTATACATATTTAAAAATGTAAATTGTTTTAGTGATCAAAGAAATTTGTTTGAAAACATTTGTAGAAAATTTCTAAAAAATTTACCTCACAATCAATAAACAATCAAAAAAAATAAGCTAGCTTATTAAAATTTTTTTAAAAAAAATACTCTATATGTGCCCATTTATTTTTATCAAAAAATTGCTTTATGTTTAAATGACCTGGGTTAAAAAGGTAGATTTAAAAAAAATCATTACATGACATTGACAGTAGTCCATAGCCAAGTTTCGGGAAAATTTTTACGCAATTTTGGCTGGACCTGAGCACCGGTATGTGATGATGATGATGATGATGGTGCTGAATGAGCACCTGTATCATCATTATCATCATAGCTATCGGCAGCCATTTTGTCAACATTTTGATAGGCTTCCTCGGCAGCAAATGCAATGTTATTTTCAAACACTTAAATTTTAAAGTTTATACAAAAATAAAAGTATAAAAAAAAATAAATATTTTTATATATAATTTAGCATGCGCATAATTTTTTCTATAAGCTACTATTAAWTTACACCATTGTAATATATTTTTAATAATTGTTTTTTTCAATACAATTCAATATATTACTAAATATTTARTAAATATTTACAAATATATRCAAATATATATAATATATAATAATATATACAAATATTTACAAATATATACAAATATTTAATAATATATTTAYATATATTTACAAATATTTAMATATATATTATTTTATCATGTTCATTAAAACAAAAATAAAAATATATTTAAAAAAAAGTTATATAATAAAATACATATTATAATTATTAAATTAAWTAAATTAATAAAATTATAAATAAAATCTAAATAAATTTAATTAATTWAAAACTAWTTAATTAATTAGTAAAACATCAAATTAATTAAGCAATTAAACTAATTATTACTTAGCAAGCATAAAAATAAATGTTTCAATAAATGTTTTAATTAAAAAATATATATTTTTARATTAATTTTTAAAAATATAATTTTAAAAATTAACCTKGGRGGGGTCATACCATTACAAACAAATTTATTTATACACACAAAATATATATGAATTTTATTTTAAAAATAAATTACTCATTAATTAATAATGTTTTCCATAACCAAGTTTCAGGAAATTTTTGCCTAATTTTTATGGGTTTAGTAGTAGTTGTTAWATGATTATTGGTTTCAACATTACTATTATAGTCTACTACTATATCCAWTGGTTGACTGTTTGAAAATAGGCGGCCCCCACCACTACCAATGTTGGCATAATATAAATATCCTAATAGTTTACACACAAAAAATGTAGTTTATATACACTAATAATACCATATAATAAAATATATATAATAAAAATTGTAAAAAAAATTATTAAAATTTATACTGKATTTTAWAATTAAAAAAAATATTTTTAATTAGATAGCTAATAATTTATAGTAGTTTATAATTGCTTAAATTAKWTAATTTTATTTTAACAATCTATTTTTTATAATTAAAATTTATATCATTAAAATTGATATTGTTTTAACTATTATTATATTATTTAGTATATTATAATTTATTTTCTATATATATATATAGATATTTAAATTTAAGTTTTTATAATTTTAACAAATCATAAAAATCACACATAAATTCAATAAACTATTATAAATTAAATAAATTATAAACTTATTTTAAATAAACTAATAATAATAATAATAAATAAATAAATTTAAAATAATTAAGTTAATATATATATATTTGTTTAAGCAAATTAATAAAAATTAAGCAAGCAGATATATTCAATAAATGTATTTCAATATAGTAAACAAACWAAATAAAATAATTTACAATTAATTTTTTTTGTAAAAAAACAATCTAGGTCATACCATTGCACACATAATTAATGCATACAAACAAAACAATAAATATAAATAATTATATTTTTTAAAAAAATTACTCATTAATTGTTAATGTTTTCCATAACCAAGTTTCGGGAAATTTTTGCCTAATTTTTATGGGTTTAGYAGTTATATGGTTGTTATTATTGGGACTATCCTGTACTACTACTGTATCCATTGAGGCTCTGGCCACTGCTAGGGGGGTTGAAGATTTGCGAGCCCCACCCCAGCCTCCAAAACCACCGCCGCCACCCATATTGTTGGCGGCATAATATAAATATCCTAATTAATAGTATWATATAMAAAAAATAATTTATTTTTWAAAYTAATTAAATTAAAATCTAATTATAAATTAAATATATTCTATTAAAATAATTTTTTTTTTTGAAAAACTAAATTATATTTTAAAYAATATTTTTTAATAAATAACTATAGAATACTTTAAATTGGAAAAATTAATTTAAAAAATTATCWAAAAAAATAATAATTTGATAATATTTTGCATAAAAATWTAAATATATATTTAATAGCAATAACTCGWAAAAAAACATTTAAAAGCAAAACATTTATAACATTAAGTGTTAAATAAAAAATTGCAGYAATTTTTTTGTTATGTTAAGTAATTATAACACAATGTATTTTTACGAAAATAATAAATATATATATTTTTTAGGTGTCAAACCAATCAATTGCTTTATATAATAATAATAATAATATTATTATTATTATTGAAAAAAATCATTGTTTTTTTGGGGGKAAAAAAATAAWTACTTAATATTAGTTGTATTCCAGAGCCAAGTTTCCGGGAATTTACTACGAATTTTTACTATATTATTATTATTATCAACATTCAATTTATCATTATTATCATTAGGTTTTATATCATCTAACAACTCTATACTAGACTGTTTAAGTACCATACCACCAGCACCGGGAGGTACGACCATAGCTGCTATAGCCATTGGACGGCCATGATATTCATAATAAACTAATAGACAWTATATATATATACYATAATATATAGATTTTTTTAAAAATAAATTATACTTGATAATTTTTAGATAKATATATATATAGTATGTATTAATAGATAATAAAAATATCTAGATGCWATTATATACATGTTATCAATTTAAGCGCAAATTTAAAATATTAAAATTTGTAAATTTAAAAGTATTAAAATTTGTAAATTTAAAATATTAAAATTTGTAAATTTAAAAATATTAAATTTGTAAATTTAAAAATATTAAATTTGTAAATTTAAAAATATTAAATTTGTAAATTTAAAAATATTAAATTTTGTAAATTTAAAAATACAATAAATGTCTAAATAGCTTATATATATATATATATGAAATAAAAYAAAATGGGATAGCTAAAAATAAATATTATATATATATTATCATTTAATTAATTATAAATTAATTTTTAYRTAAAAAATTWAATWAAAGTAAAATTGATTTTTCTTAAAAATAWACATTCAATRAAAAATAAAAATAATTTTTATATTTTTGTTTAGTAGAGATAACACTATTTATACTATAAATTTTWTTTATTTGTTTTTTTGGAGATCAAACCAATCAATTGCTTTAAAAATTATWACTAAATAATAAAAAAAAACATTTKGGGAAAYTTTTTTKTGGGGGTGTGTGGGTGGGGGAGGRAACAACAACAACAYCAATAAAATTCAAGTAATTTTACTCAATATTAGTTGTAATATTCCAGAGCCAWGTTTCCGGGAATTTACTACGAATTTTTACATTATTATTATTATTATTATTATTATTATTATTATTWYTAATATTAATAGTTGTTTTATCATATAATGTATCTAATTTAGAGTCCYTGAKYAAAACCATAGCTATGTCAATAGCACCGGGAGGTCCGGCCATAGACATTGAACGGGCCATATATGCAGAACAAACTAATAATAATATATAGAAAATAGATATATACTGTATATATATATATAATTTTTTGACAAATTATACTTGATGATAATTTTTTTTATAAGTAAATAATATATATATACAGTATATATATATATATATATTAATAGTTATAAAAAAAATATCTAAAAATGCATGTGTGTTTTTGTTGTTGTTTATAAATAAAATAATTATTTATAATGTTATCGCAATTTAAGCGCAAATTTAATTAAATATATTTTTAAAAAAATAAAATATAAAAAATTTTAACAATATATGTCTCGATAGTTTATAATAGCTAAAAAAAATATTTTATAATAAACTATATATTAGTATATTTTTATATTTAAAAAATTAATTTAATATTAATTTTTATAATAAATAATTGAATTAAAATTGATTTTTTTTTTTAAAAACATTCAATCAAATTGGCTAAACATACAAAAATAAGTGCAACAAATATTTTTTAAAAAAATTAAAAAAAGTAGATATAACACACACAATGTATTTATATTACAGTATAATTAAATACATTWTATATATTTTTTTAGGGATCAAACCAATCAATTGCTTTATAATTATTATTAATGAAAAAAAAATCATTAATTTTTTTGKGGGCGAAAAAAATTTGCAATAAATTTACTCAATTTTAGTTGTATTCCAGAGCCAAGTTTCCGGGAATTTACTACGAATTTTTACTACATTATTATTATTATCGTTATTATCATTAGTTATAGCATCTGATGATAATGACTGCATAACAGTAGTCTCCTTGAATACCATACCCATAGCCATGGCTGCACCGGGAGGTCCGGGAGCTCCAAACATTGGACGCGCATAATCATAATAAACTTAATATATATATATATATAATTATAAATAAAAAAAATTATAAACTAAAATTAAAATAATAAAAATTAAATAACAAAATAAACAATTTTTTTGCGCAATATATTAGTATATAATTATATTTTTATAAACTAATAATTAATTAAAAAATAGAATTTTTTTATATAAATCTATTATTAAATATATAGTAATATAATTGAAATATTTATTTATAATATAAATCTATTATTAAATATATAGTAATTCAATTAAAATATTTAGAATTAAAAATATTTTTTATAAAATAATAATATTAAATATATAGTAATTCAATTGATAAATTTAAAATTAAAAAATTGAATTTTTTTTAGAAAAATAAACCAATAAACCAACACAACAATAAAAAACCAATTGAAAACCAATTTCCCCAGATTACCATGCAACATTTTTTTTAAAAAAAAGTGATAATAATAATAATAACGAAAATAAGGGGTCAAAACCATAGATCACATTTTTTATGAAAAAAATGTATTGAATAAAAAAACTTTTTTAAAACAAAAATTAATTACTCAATTGTCGTTGTATTCCATAGCCATGTTTCCGGGAATTTACTTCGAATTTTTACATTATTACTTAATTTATTATTATTATTATTATTCATATTCAATGGTAATTTTTGACCCTTCAATACAGCTGTACCGCCATTGGCTACAGCTATGCCAGCTGCTGGCCTGGGTGGACCTCCTAGTATAAATGCATTTTCAGCTATAGGATGACCACCCCAGCCATGATCTATACATACCATACACACACATATATATATTTAGTATAATTTATTTTAAAATTAAAATATAATAAAATAAGCACGCATATTATTTTTTTAAAAAAATTAACTAATTAACTAGTTAATTAATTATAATAGTTATTATGGGGGGGGGTTATACTAATAATATTAATTGTAGCTAAACGCTAATAGTATAATATCAATAAATTACGGTATACTACATAAATTACGTCCTAATACATAAATTACGTTTTCTATATATTTTTCTATCTATGTATATCTGTATAATTGTATCTCGGTCAAATTGATCATACATTGCTAGCCTATATTAACTAAACTAATTTAATTAAAAATTTATATATTTTGATTTAGTACTTAGATTGCATCAATTTCCATAGCCATGTTTCCGGGAATTTTTGTCTCAATTTAACTACATCACTAGATTTTTTAACATCACTACTAGTTGTACTAGTAGTACTAGTTAACGATACTAGTTGACGCTTGGTAATTTCATTATTAAAACCAACATTAGGCATCCGGGTATATTGGACAAAATTTCGATAATAAACTAACAAACCCCCAAATATCAATTTTATTATTTTTTTAAGTAAAAAAATATTTAAAAATATTAATTGATATTCAAGCAAGCAAAAAAAAATTTTAAAAAAAATAAAAAATAAACCTAGTTGAAAAAAATTTAAATTAAATTATGTCGCATGCTCGCTTGCATTCAAATTTTTTTTTTTAATTTAAATACTAAATAATTTATCACAATCATATAATTAATAATTGATATTATGCAATTATTTTAAAAACTAAAAAAAATAACTTTAAAAAAGTATATTTTCCAATAAAAATATTATAAATTTACAATTAATAAATAAATATTAAAAATATAAACTAGCTAACATTAATAATAATAATAATTAATTTAACGCTCGCATTTAAAAAAAATAATTATAAATAATTATAATTTTTTCTAATAATTAAAAAAATAAATCAATCAATCAATCACTTACTCGGCTCCGGCCGATGAATGTGTCCATTGGTCAGTACAACCACTCCCGAGTCGTCAAACATTTCGCCCGTAGTGGTCGAACCGGGTCTCCAGTATGACCAGCGACCGCCACCCGAACCACCCGAACCCGACGATTGTTGTTGAATAGTATCGTATGATTTCAATTCGGCGATAACATCATCGCGGCTAACATCGAAACCCGATTTCAATAGCATTACCGATTGGTCGACACCGAGTACACCGACTACGGCCCGTGGTTTACTGTCCACCCGAATCTGGACCTGAGCTCCCGGTTTGGTAGTCTGGACATCAGTTGACACTGAAACAGGTGTTTCAAATACACCGTCAACATTGAAATTCAGGGCATCGGCTACCAGTTCCGAATTGGCCGGTCGTATATAATAGACAATCAATCGGGCATTCGGTGACATTTTACTTGTAGTTTTTACCGAAAATTCTACCGATCGTTGATTGGCTGCCACTACAGGTACGGTATTGGTGGCCAATATATCTCCTCTGCCCATAATCTGATAGACCAACGATACTGACGGGTCCAATGGTTCGGTACTGTTAACTACAAATGTTAGGTCATCGCCAACTTTCGGCTGAACCTGTTTGGCACCGGTAGACTGTTTTTGTTGGACTTGCAGATAGCTATTCGACGGTGATTTCGAGGCCCGGATATCCTCCAAATTATACGACTGTCCTCTGTATTCGGCGTGCATTCGGAATATGTCTTTATCCGGTGGAGGTATCAGATCGATAATGGCTACACCTTTCAGGACGGGTAGCTCCTGTTGATGGACTTCCCATTCATCGTACGARAAACGGTATTTGAATATCAGTGGCTGCAGGGGGTTATCCTCGACGGGTGTATCGTCACGATAGGCAACACGCAAATAGGCCGTATAGTTAAGGCCCGGTTTGAACGTCTGGGATGTCTTAACCAAATCAACCTTAACATCGTTGGTATAGACTTTCAACACAGCCGTCCGATTATAGCGCCGTCCGCTTAGTTCGTCCTCAACTTCGGCCCGGAATTCAATCTCTTGTTCATAGTTTTGATTGTTTGCATCGATTTGCAAATCGCGTACAATATTCACCGGTATGTCCACCGATCCGGCCGTACCTCCCGATCCTAGTTTGACTTTTGTCTGATATTTAGGCTGTTCCTGACGTCCACTATCACCGCCGCCGCCATAGTAATAGTAGTGTTGATCCTTACGTTGGACAGTCAACGTAGCCTCACCTTTGACCGGACGACCGTACGTATAGATRGCCYKAACAGTGGCCAATATATCCGATTTTTTATACGTTGCATACGGCGGCAACTGTACGGTAACGTCAAACGTCGGCAATACATACTCGGCTACGGTAAATGTTTTTTGAAAACGTTGGCCACCACTACCACCAGCCARTTCGGCCACTATTGTCCAATCGCCGAGCATCGGCTGTTCGGATAGTTGTAGATCGTAGCCGCTAATCAAGCCGGTAGTCGGTTGWGATTTTAGCCATTGTTTTATACGATTGCCTTTCGAGTCCTAAATTCAAGMCYCGGGTGGAGGGGGAGGGGKGGTAATTWGAAAAATTARATTTAAATTGTTTGTCAAAATATGTATATACACTATACAGTAGTGGTGTGTGTCTGAGTGTGTATATGTATGTATGTATGTGTGTGTATATGTATGTATGTATATGTATGTGTGTGTATATGTATGTGTGTATGTATGTATGTATGTATGTATGTATGTATGTATGTATGTGTATATGTATGTATGTATGTGTGTGTATATGTATGTGTGTGTCTATGTATGTGTGTGTGTATGTATGTGTGTGTTTGTATGTGTGTGTGTGTGTATGTATGTGTGTGCCTGTGTGTGTGTGTGTATGTGTGTGTGTGTGTGTGTGTGTGTGTGTGTGTGTGTGTATATATATATATATATGTATGTGTGTGTGTGTGTGTGTGTGTGTATTTAAACCCAAAAATAAAAAYTGTTAGTTAATSCCTATCACCCCACACATACACACACACCACCCCTCTAAAGCTACCCCCTCCTGTTGTTTGGGAAAAAAGTTATARTAGATGTACAGTATATATATATATATATATTAATAGTATTAATTTACTACTAAATTATTAATAATTTTTTTACAAACAAAATGTAGTGGGGGTGGGATAGGGTTTGGGGGGGGGGGTTGAACTCTATGCTAAACAAAAATTGTTACATGTATATTTACAATGACTATTTAGTTTTATATAATATCATATATATATATAGGTAACCTTGAAATATATAAGTGTGTGTGTCGTGAATCACGACACTCGTGATTCATAGTATTGGTAAAAAAATTATTAATATTTTTTAAACTAAATAAAGTGATCATGAGCAATTTTTTTTTAAAGTTCATGATAAACGTGATAATAAAATATTATTTAAAAATAACTATTTAACCAGTTGAGAATGCTAGAAAGCATTACCAAAAACAAATTTTTATTACGTAAATTACTTGTTTTTGTCATATTATAAACAATATATTTATTCCTAATAACCATTAGTCCATATGAGTCATTATATTATATTATATATATAAACGCGTTAATTGACAATCTTCATGACAAAGTATTTATATTGAAACAATATATTTGATTTTTTGGTAATGCAATATTTCTGATGATGTAATTGTATATTTATAATGATTTATAGATCATTTTATAATATATTAATTTATTGTTAGAATTAACTATTTATATGTTTAACTTAAATTTTAACAACAAACTCATATTTTAAATTTATCGACCATTTTCTTTGTTCCTGAAGAGATAAAAATTTTAATTCTGATTTCTATACCTTACTTTTGATACTTAATTAAATCTAAATTAAAATTTTTAACCAAAATTTTTTATACTTTAGTCGCCATTTTGTGTGAGATATTAAAATTTTAATTCTGATTCATATACCTTTCTTATAATGCTTCATTCAAATCTAAACTTAATAAAAAAATTTCTAAAATTTTTTTTACTTTGGCCGCCATTTTCTCTATGTTCCCGAAGAGATATCAAAATTTTAATGCTGATCCCCTATACCTTATTTTCGATGATCTAACCGAATCTGAAATCAGAATTTCAAAATTCACAACACACACACACACACACACACACACACACACACACACACACACACACACACACACACATATAGAATTCATTAAACAAATTTAAAAAAATTTGTTTGAAAATAACTATTTAAAAATAACTATTTAAAAAATAAATCAATCTAGTATCACGTTTTTAATTAAATTTTACAATTATTTAACTTTTTAAGAAAAATATTATACAATATATAACAAAAATTATACTTATTTTTTAAAAAAAAATAAATATTAATTTATTTAATTAAATATAATTGAATAAATAAGTTTGATTTTATAACTTTTTTTTCACTTATATTGAATATTAWGTTCAATTATCTAAACTTTTTCAAAAATAAATACCAAATAATTTACTAAAAAATTACTTAATATCTAACCCTAACCAACCCAACCAGTAATTTAAAAAATTTAAATTTAAATTAAAAACAAAATAAATAAATTTTATTACACAATTGAATAGTTAAAACAATTAKATATAACTATTTAACTAAACTAATTATACCATAAAAATATATATTATTATCAATAATAATAATATAATAATAAAACATATTTTTTTAAAAAAAATAATTAATTAAATATTATTAATTAAAAAAAAATAAATCAATAATCAATCGGCCCTTACCTTAATATAGATATCGACACTGGTATTCACTGTAGGCCTGAGCCGGGGATCGACWACAATAACCCTAAACTGGACCAACTGTCCCGGTTTGTACATCGCTTTATCCGTTTGAATGAATACCGATCGGGATTTCTGTTGAAACTCTAGCGATTTGTTTTGCCGATACTGTTTGCTACCRTCACCACTACCTACACCACCGTGACTGGCCTCTACATTCAAGGTATAATTACCCGATTCTGGCCAATCGGCAGGTATTGGCAACTGGAGATTCTGTGCCGAATCGGCTACGGGTAGCTCCAGTTGTTTGCTAAGCGAATGTTGGCCACTCTGGTCGCCCACTCGTACGGTCATTACGGTCGGCTGTTTAAGGCCAGTGCCCGTAACGGCTACGTGATAGTCGCTGTCGGGCCTCAATTTTGAYGGWCCGACTACAGTGTAGATACCGTTTTCTCTGTCCATCGGMGGTTCGGGTGTTGTCGACGATTCAATGGGCGGTCGTATACTAAAGTCGTTGTCGTCAAACATATTGTGGTTTTGATTAAAAAAAAATAAATTTAAAAAAAAAGTTCAAAATATATATTAGTTTTTATTCAACTTTTTTTTTTGGTTATTTTTATSATAAAATTATTAGTAGTTTTTTCAACTTTTTTTTTTAAAGTGATTAAAATTATTAGTAGTTTTTTTCAATTTTTTTTCAACTTTTTATTTTTGTTGATTTTGATTAATAGTTAACTATAAAAATATTAAAAAAAAAATAATATTTAGTAATAAAACTATTAGTAATAATAATAGTCTCCTATTAGTTTAAAAAAACACTATAATATTACTAATTAATAGTCTATTAATAAGTAAATWAAATAATTTTAATAAATTGTTTTAATATTTTTTTCACTTATTATTAGTGAAATATATTGTGAAATATTTTTATTAGTTAATATTAATTATTAGAAAACTTGTGTTTGATTGACATTTAAATAAAATCAATAATAATAATAATAAATATATTAAAAAAAATCAAATTAATTCACAAAAATTATTGTTCACAAACAATGCAATSTATTTAATAATAATAATAATAATAATAATAAATWTATTATTAGGCGACTAATTATTATTACTGYTAAAACACAATACTATTTAATAATATACTGTGATATATATTAATGACAAATCATTTYTAATAATTATAAATAAAAATAAATAAAACAACAAAATATTTTTTAGTAATAATAATAATAATATCTATTGAATATATATATATATTTTGTTAAACTAATAATATGACAGATAAACAACAACACATGTATAGTTATAGTTATATATCATATATATATAYAAAAAATATGTGAATCATATATATATARWTATATAGTATATATAKATATATAGTAAAATAATATATGTATCTATATATATATATATACTTACACCCTCATTGCACTGGTATTATGTAATAGTGCTGATATTGTCGCTAAGAGACATACAGTTCCCAATACGCCGGTGCCGGTGCCGACATAGTAACCCATTATTATTATTATTAATTAATTAATTAATTAAAACAATAATAATAATAWTAWTATTAKTATTAYTATTATAACACTATATTAGATAATAAAAATATAGAGAAAATATTATTATTAGTATTATTATTAAATATAACAGAATATTAATAATTAATTAATTATAACATAATATTAATAATTAATTAATTATAACATAATATTAATAATTAATTAATTWATTTATTAATGATTTGCACCTTTAGTTTTGATGTAATTTAGTTTTTATTATTTTGGTAAAACACTGGGCACTGGTATATAAATAATTTTTATTGAGATACAGATAGACTTATATATATATATATACAGACAGACACTAACTATTGATTTTTAACTTTTAATAAAAAAAAATTTATATAWATATTATTACAAAATGATTGAAAAAAATGATTTATTAATTTTTGAAATACAATTACTTAAAAATATATATATATATATAAATTTTAACATTCAATATWTATATATACAGTGCTATTCAAAAAATTTCAAAATAATTTTGAAATAAATTTTTATATTTAATATTATATTACTTATATATAAAACTTTATTTACTACTATTACTACTACTACTACTACTAGTTTTTTGATACATGTATTTTTACAAAACAAATTTAATACTTTAAAAAATAAAATAAAGTTGTTATATGAGATAATAATAATTTTTGTTTTTTTTTCAATAATAATTTTAAGAAAAATACATCATTTCTATTGGCTGTTAATGAAAATTAAAATAAATATAAAGAGAGAGAGAGAGAGTTTGTATAAACAGTATAAAAAAGAGTCTCTCTCTCTCTCTCTCTCTCTCTCTCTCTCTCTCTCTCTCTCTCTCTCTCTCTCTCTCTCTCTCTCTCTCTCTCTCTCTCTCTCTCTTAAAAAAAACATTTAATATATACTGTAATTAATATTAAATTTTAGTTTTTAAATTTTTTTTTTTTGGTTAGTTATTTAAGTGCTATTTTTTTCTATTAGTCGGTTAGTTATATAATATATTATATAAAAAAATAGTATTTTCATCGGAAAATGTATAAAAATTTCAATTTTTTTACACAAAGAGAGAGAGAGAGAGAGATACTAAAAAAACGAGAGTTGTTTTACAACTATCGCTAGACATATATATATATATATATATATATATATATATATATATATGGGATATATATAGCTATATATTATAAGCACCGSTATTACCAGTAAAATCAATGACCTTGGTCAAAATCATATATATATATATATATATATATATAGCTGGCTAGCCTAGTATCATTTATCATGGAGTATCCATTATATAATATTATATAGTATATACTGTATTGTAGCTATTATATATATATATATTATAGATTTATATCACTATATATACTGTATATATATATATATATATATATATATATATACTAATGTAATATATAAATTGCAACATTGCATATACAGTATAAATGTTGTTTTAAGTAATATATTATAATAAAATAATAATAAAATTTTTATTTCTAGCAATASCATAGATTAMAAAATAATTAAAAAAATTAAATAAATAAATTTATCAAGATTATATCATGATAAATAATTTTTGTTAAAATAATATGATAAATAAAATTTTTAACTTTTTTTTGTTTTTTTGTATGATTTCATTAAAACTATGCAATTATTTAGTTTGTATTTACTTTTTAAAAAAATTTTTTTTCTTATAATATTATTAGTAAATAAATATTTAAAGTTAAATTTATATTTTTTTATTACATATTAAATACTAGAAATATATATATTTATTTTATTAACAGCAYAAATATTATTTATCAATAAAATTAATTATATTATTATCAAATTCAAGGATTTTACTACAATTTTAATATTAATTATTTATTTAAGAAAATACGCTGTATTTTAATATTAATAATAAATATTTATTTAAATTTTTTTTCTCTCTAGTATTAAACACTTAATTAATATGTAAAACACATATCAATAGTAATACTTAAATATTTAATTTGTAAGGAAGTGTAATATATTTTAATTTTTTTTTATTTTTAGATATTTTTTTTAAATAAAAAATTATAAATAATTATTTATTGCTAGATTGAAAAATTTATAAATAGATATATGAGTAATAATAATAATAATAATAATTCAATTGAATAGATGCTAATAAATTGTAAATTATTTATTATTGTTTAAACTAATCAATGTATTTTTTTAAGATTTAATWAATAAATTTTATTAGCAATAAAATTATTTTTTTTTTAAATTGTTAGATTTTTTTWTTATTATTAAYACTGTATGCTAATATTATAAAACTTAAAAATTATTATTATTATTATTATTAGWAAAAATATTTAATAATTAATATTAAGCATAAATTAAACATAAAACTATTAAMAASAAAATAATTATTAATAAAYTGTATTTAATTTTTTTTWATAAAGTTTTTAAAAAATAACTATTTAATAAAAAAAAAACATCATATATATAAATATAAAATTACTATAATTTGATACTATTTTAATAAGTAAATTGTTTTCTACCGACAAAAACACATGTAAATTRATTTTATTRATATTATATMTAAATATATTAAGTAACTATAGATATATTATAATTTTATGTAATATAAACTTTTTTATATAAAAAAAATTACATAAATTATAATATATTTCTAATAATAATAATAATAATAATTTTATATTAAATTATTTTTTCAACAAATAAAAAATCAATWTATTTACTACCTTTATGTATGAAATTGATATATAATATTATCTCAAATTATATGTATAATAGTTTGTTATATATATTTAAAAAACCAAAAAAATATAACAAAATATAATTATGTATTAATTATTTAAATAACACAATAATAATAATAATATAAACTAATTTTTAAATAAAATATTTATTAAATAAATCAARTGTCTGTGCAATTTAATTAAATAAATTTTATTTTATTAAAAAAAAATATTTTTTACATTTTATWAAATTTAGTTTATTTAACTATTTGCTTATAACAAACGGGTTATTGTAAAACAAACAAACATGCATGTTTTTAATTAATTAAAAAACAATAAAATAATAAAAATAAATTTCACAATTTAATAACTAAAATTGTAGTAAACTGTTTTTATATTAATAAAAAATTTTTTTTTTAAAGTTAATTAGTTTATTTAGCTAAAAAAACATATGTTTAAATAATGTTTTTTTAGTTTAATTTTAATTTATCGTGTATTTTTGTACACTAGTTTTTTGTTGCATATTTTTTTTATATAAACATAAATCACATAGCTAATTTATTTTTTAAAAATATATAATGTATATATATATATATATATATATAAATTAACATTTAAAAATAGATAGTATTGTATAATTATTTTTTATAGATTAATAACTTTTTTAACTAATATAATATGTATATAATTAAATATAAATCACTATGAATTAGTTAAAAATAAATAAATTAAGTTTTTTTCAGATTTTATAATCAATTGTTTTTTTTTATTGTAGATTTAGTTAATTTTATTAATTTATTTACTAGTATTTTTTTTAATACTCTATCTATTTTATAATTAAAACAAAAAAAAATAGTTAATTTATTTATAATTACTAATATTATTTAAACTTATATTTTTGTAAATACTATTACATTGAAATTAATATAGATTTCTATGTTTTCTGTAAATTTTAATAACATTTATTTTATACATTATTTATTATGTAAATCATTTATTATATATAAATTATTTTGTATTATTATTGAAGGCTAAAATATTTTAGACATTTATATGTATTACATTATGTAACAATTAATATATTTTATTTATGGATATTAATAATATAAAATCAATATTTTTTTTAAAAAAAACTACTAATACTTTATTTAAATATTTCTTACTTTTTCACAATTTCTCAAAAAACTTTATCCAAAACTTGGATTGACATACATATGTTTCGAGAGGTAACTCCTCTCTCATCAGTGTCACTGAGATTATGGCCGCTAAGACCTATCTCAACACTTGTTGTACTCTATGATGTAGTGCTGGATCGGGTGTTTGGCTCGAAATTAGTATCAATTAGTGATTTATTTGATATGTTTATTGTATGGGAAAGTTTAAAGTATTTTATTTACAGTATATTTTTAATGTAAATTATTTACAGATTTTAACTGTACATATAGTTTGCCATAGAACTAGCTCTCAGTATGAGAGCTAGTCTATGGCATTATTATTTGTTTTTTAAAAAACATAAGTATTGATTAGGGATAGTATTTGTATGAATTTGATCATTCATTAAATTAAATTTTTTATATTTGTTTTGTTCTATATTCCAATTTTCTAAATATCTACGTGAATAATAATTAGTTTCACTATATATAATACTTGCATTTGAAAAATTTACATCATGTTTTGTATGAAAACAATGGTCAGCAATATTAGATTTATATGAATCACATACTAATGCTTTTTTATGTTCTCCTAATCTAATACCTAATTTACGTTTTGTATTGCCTACATATACTGATTTACATAATTCACAATTAACATTATAAACTACACCGTATTTATTAAATTTTGATTGACTATATCTATTATGTAATATATTTTTAATATTGTAACCTCTTTTATATACTGTATTTATGTTGTATTTTTTAAATAAATGTTTAATTTTTTGACTTATGCCTTTGTAATAGGGTATAGTAATTACATTATTAATATCAAAGTTATTAGATTTTATTTTATTTTTATTATTTTTTTGTTGATTTATCAGATTAAATATTAATGATTTAGGGTAATTATTAATTAATAAAATATCTGTAATGTATTGTAGCTCTTTATCTAAATATATATTATTACTACAATGAGTAAAAGCTCTATAAATTAAACTTTTAATTACTGATAATTTATATTCTTTAGCATGGTGTGAATTAAAATTTAAATATCTATTTGAATTAGTATTTTTTCTATATACTGTAGTATTAATTTTAT